AATCCTCAATGAATGAACCAACTGTACATCATCTCACCACCAGACTATGTCTATAAATGGATCACCTTGGAGAAACCTGATTGAATATGTAAATAAGTCATATTCACCCTAATATATTAAACATGGAGAAAGTGGAGCAATGGAAATGGAACAAAACACAGGTGCGATAGACAAAATCAAAGAGGATACTAAATAACACAAGAGAAATACAATAGCAATAAATACGATAAATTGCATAACGCCAGTATGTAAATAAATTCTGACAGAGGACACATGTGCGCGAATTGTCACAATTGTATATATATAATATCATTCCTATTTTATTGAACATATTGTAGTCATTTTTTATATTTTATCATCTCTTAGGATCGTATTTTTTGTTTGAATATTAAATTTACACGTGTTCTAAATTGCAAATAGGTTTTTTAAATGATGTCACTACAATATCAATGTGTGCTATTGTTTCTTTAACAGACCTTTGTATCTGTTCTCTTGTTATTTTATAGGAAGAGCTGTGATTGAGGTAAAAATAATTGTGAATTTTCTGCAAATGCAAAGAATCATCTTTTCATACTTTCGTTAGAAGACCATCACTAAGAAGAAACTTTTTTTGTTGCTTCATGGAACTCCATGACTAGATCCTACAGGAACCGCAATAACTTTCACAACACCCAACTCACTCCGGACCATATATACCCGGCCATCCTTGCAGCCTTCTATATGGCAGACATCAATCCAGAAGAGAACATCCATAGGGCACCTCAGTTAGCCGGTATTGTGATCAGGGTGCATGGACCGATCTGATCTGCTCCATGGACAAGACACAACCACCACAAAGAATAAAATATCAAATACAGACTATACGAACATAAAGAACAATGCAATAGTTGAGAGAGTGAGAATCTTAGATCTGATAGACTAAATTGGTGAAATCGCTGGGAAGGTTAATCACTGATGAGCCAAGCATTCCCAAATATTTTTATATTAAATTTATTAACTGTATAAATTCGTTTTATAATATTGTCACATAATTATTGTAAATACTCTGTTGTTAGTTTATCAACTAAAACATTCAGCTACGTCACTTCTTGTAGATTATCACTTGTAAAATTATGATCACGTTTTGTATTCTATAGAGTTTGTTAATAACAGAGTATAAAAGTAATAGATGTGAATCTATATATATAAAATTGAATGTCTGTCTGTCTGTGTGTGTGTCCTCTATGGATTCAAAAACCATACATCCAATCGCCGTGAAATTTTGGGATATTATTAGGTGTATCCCCGGAAAGGTTTACGAAAAATAATTTCTTGAATATCTTAAATATCCTTAGAGTTATTTGCAGATTTGTAGCTTTAACTCGCAAGCAGCGCCACCTTGCGACGGAGATAGGCTTAGGTCTGCCCCCCCCCCCCCCCCCCCCCCCCCACCGAGAAAATGTAGTCCGGCCGCCGGCCAAAGTTCCCACCGACCAATCAGAGGGATCCCCGGAATCCCCCCCCCCGTCCGGCCGCCGGCCGGCTGTTGGACAGTCCAAGTTCCCACCGACCAATCAGAGGGATCAAGAGGTCCTGGCGCGCGGGGGCAGAGTTGGTGACACAGCTGTGAAAAGTAGACAAGAAAAAAGCCTCGCGGGTGACCTCCGGGAACTACGTCCATCTTCCATAAACGACCATGATTCGGGTATTTTTCAAGGGACCGGGAAAATATGTTCACTAGATAAAACGATGATTTTGTAATGTAGAAAATTAGGAAAGACAAAATTCAGGATGACACGGCACACAGGGACCGGGAAAAAAATGTTCACTTTATCGAGAGATTCAAATTTACGAGTTTCAAATTATCAAAATATATCTTTTTTTTATAAGTTTATAGAGAAATGTTTTAACAAATGTTCGTTAGACAAACCTTTACTCGGGTAAAACCTCGGGCGAAGCCGGGTACGTCCGCTAGTATTCTATATATGATTTTTTCTTTTTTGCTAATCCCTAGTACACGTGGCCATGATAACCATGGTGGATAGAGGAAGGCGACTACTTTTACTGTAAGTGAACCGCATGTCTGCACATGTGAAAAGCAGTTCGAATTTGCACTTACAAAGGTGCCAGAGCACTGTTGGTTACTTGCACTCGCTGATGAGGTTGGACTTTTGCAAGAAATGGGAGCCATTGGAACTTTTTTTTTCAGCTAAAAGTGTCCAATGCGGGAATCAAACCCGGGTCGTTGCGGTTGAAACCAACAGTTTAGACCATCCTTCCACCGACCCCCTATATATAAATTAAATAAGTCCTTAGGTTTATAGAGATGAGAGTTTAAAAGTATAGAAGAGAATCAAATAGAATCATGATGATAGAATAGAGAAATTAAAAAATGAAAGATTTTAGTTTAAAATTCATTTAATTATCAGCAAAAAGGTAAAATTTATCGAAAGAGTTCAAACATTCCAAGAATTCTTTAGATATTCCCCTTCCATATTTTTCATTTTATAATAGAATCCAATAAAGATTACAATATAGAACTTTAACATTTTTTATATACAAACTAAAATATTTCCACAAATTTAGCGTAGAAATTGAGAAATTAGGTGGAAATTTCAATTATATATATAAAAACACAACGCTAATAAAAAGTTTAAATTATTTTAAAGAATATCCACCAAAGAATGAAGAAAAACTTTCGGAAATTCCTTGTTCAACATTCCAAATAATTTAAATTGATAGTCAATTTTCTCTTAATGGCACAGCAAGCTTAATAGAAATTGGAGAAAATGGTAAAAAAAAAGCAAGATGCACAATGTTTTACGGGAAATACTTCTTTTCAATTCTCCACATGGGATTTTAACCCCTGGAATTCAATTATTATTTGATCAATATACATAAATGGTATCTTAAGCCTAAAAAGGTAATTCCCATTGGTATTCTTACAGGTTAGGTCTGAGAGGGTTGTTATATGCAATTGGAGTATTTGCATAGTGTGATTGTTTTTTTACTATGAACACAATTGGTGATTAGTCTTTGTTTTTTGTCTTGAATTTGATACAAATTTGTAAAAAATATATATTTAAGTAGATTTCTCTTGTGTATTCCGTTCTTGGTAATCGCTTTTTTTTTTTTTTTGGTGCGCATTTTTAAATGTGGAAAATATTGGCATGTATTTTTTTAATCATTAAGGCCACACACACACAGTATGTAAATTGTGAAAACTTCAAAAGGTTAATCCAATTAGGGATTTCTTTATTTTTTATATAATATTTTATATCTATTTTATCTATATTTTGATATTAAAATCGAATTTCCTTATATTTTGTAATTTAATTTTAAATGTAAAAAAAAGAAAAATATAAATACTATCTATTATATGCTAAGTTAAAACTGCTTAATTAGCGAAAATTTTGCTTTGTTATTATATACTTTATATTCCTAAACTTTCGATAATATTACCTTTTAATTTTGGCTTTATTTTATGATATACTTTATTTCCCTAAACTTTCAAGTATGTCCCTTTTAATTTTAGTGTTATTATGATATACTTTTCCCCCAAAAACTTTCGAGGATTTTACCTTTCAACGTTGAGTTTTATTATGATATAATTATTTCTGAAATTTTTCAATGATTTACCTTTAAATTTTTGGTTTTATTATGATATACTTTATTCCCAAACTTTCGAGGATGTTACCTTTTGAGAAAGGATAATAATTTATAAACCGATATAATATATATATCAATATAAACATAACTAACTAAACTATCACAGCTAACTAACTATAGGGCAGAGACGTGATGAGTGTTATATAAGAGGTAGGGACGCGGAGGGGACCAGTGTGGCGGGGTGTAAAAACCAGACCAACAGGTCCCATATAAAAATGCCCCTGGAATGCAACCACCAGCGCCCATTGTTGTCTGGGTGAGAGGTTAGAATGTTTGATGAAACCTTCTCCTTTCTTTAAGCCTTCTTCATTATACTGCCACAATTACGATCCTAAAAGCCTTTTAATTGACGTCAGGAAAGAAGAAATTCCAGATTTCTATCATTTTGGCGCGCTTTTATATTTAGAGCAGACGACATTTTTGAGGTTGATCGTCTGCCCTGAAATTTTTTCGTTAAATTAAAAAGAGTTCGTTGATAGAGAGTATGTCTTGAAATTAACTTTTTCAAATATGTTTTTTTTTGTATATATTATGTTTTTTTATATATATATATATTTTTAAAACTTTTTTTCTTTCTCTCTCTCTTTCTTTCTTATATGGATAATCTTATTTGAATATTGTAATAAATCTGTTTCAATCTCTCTCTCTCTCGTGAAATATATTTATGGTAATATAACAAATAAAATACAAAATATGGATTTTTCTATAAAAATATATTTTATAAATTATTTAAAGCAAACTCTAGTTGCAAAGATTGATCTTAGTGTTCAAGATGTATTAATAAAAAAAAAAAAAGACAGGAAGATGAATATGATAGATATAAAAATAATCACAAATTATATGTGCATATTTAAAGTTTGCATAATCTTCAAAAACTTACATGCATACTTATCGAACTATACATATTTTATAGAAAAAAAAGCAAAAGAAAAATAATTTAAAATTTGAATTTATTTATTATTTTGTAATAAAACAATTTATTGTTATTGAAATATAAATAATAGTAGAACATATAAATATATTTTTGAAAATAGAACAATCCATAAATATATCCTTAATTAAAAAGGCATATATTGGATCAAAATATCATTTATTTTACCAATATTTCAGTTGGCTGAACGCCAACCTTTATCAAGGTATCAAGGCGCTGAGTTTGTTGTTGACACATATTAATTTAATACAATATAATGCGGCTTATGATTGTAGAACGACATTTGAAATTATCCCGCATGTGTTTCTTTTGAATGAAAAATCGAACATTTTTATTTTAAGGAGAAACAACGACTATTTATAACCTTTGGGATGAAGTATGAAAGGATGAATTGTGAAGAGTAATGATAAACGGAAAATAAAAGTATCCAGGGATGGGAATCGAACCCACAGTGTTCCGCTTACCGGGCAGATGCCATCTCCACTAGGACATAATACCTTGATAAAGGTTGGCGCTCAGCCAACTGAAATATTGGTAAAATAAATGATATTTTGATCCAATATATGTCTTTTTAATTAAACATAAATATATATTTGACATTATAATAAACTATATATTTTTAAAATATAATTTTATTTATATAATCATTTTCTTTTCACTTATCAGCTCTTAATTTATATTCCCATATTTGATGAAAAAGGTTTCTGATCAAGTAACCCAAATATGCAAATTTGACATTATTCCGATAGATGGATGGCACCAACCATCTTTTTAGCGTATAATTTGTTCCGTTTTCAATGTAAAACTGTGTTTTTATTCTTTTTACATACATTTTATTTCTTATTCCGAGAGTATATATATACAAATAAGCACCATTTTGAATTTTTTTTAAATCACGTTTTTCATTTCAGATTTTTTCCTAATAAAATAATTGCGGAAGAGCATTGCTCGATGCATTGACTTGTAATTATATTGCCACGTGAAAAATTAGGAAAGACAAACTTCAGGATAAGACAGCAATTTATTTCAGGCAAGAACAAACTATGAATGAAAACAAAAAATAAGCAAAAAGGGAAGTTTACAGAGTAGCAAAATATAAACATAAAAAATGATACTCTGTTAATACAAGTGTAAAATAATAAATACCTTTTTGCTACACTATGTATGTAACATTAAACAGATCTATATGTTTATGTCTATATATAAATTCACTAAACACCTCTAAGTTGCCTTCCATAGTAAATACAGGATATACCATAAAACCAAACCAATACAATAGTAGAGAGATCTGGAGATTAATTTGGTAAAACCGCTGAGAGGGTTCACCATTGATGAGCCAAGCCCTCTCATTTAATAACTTTTATCATTGCAGTAAGAAATATAGAGATAATATTTGAAAACACTTATCATAAGAAACATTACCAGAAAAACAATTATGCAAATTTGATCGATAAATGTCTATTTAATTTATAAAAATGACATAAATAAATTTTATTCGAACACGCAGTTTAAAAATTTCAATATTATAATAAAAAAATTAATACCATAACATAATTAATATACAATTCTAAATAAAGAAATATAATCTTTAAAAAGAAGGTACAATAGGATAAAGCTGTCTAAAAAGAGTTAGGTCCTTTTCAAGAATATTAATCAAGAAAATGAAGAAGCGTATTTGGCAACGTTGGAAATAATTTATCATAGATTAAAAATTACCTTTCTTACGTTACTTAAAAATTCAGTTTTAATAAATTATTCTCAGAATTTTTCTCGACTTTTCTGTAACGTTAAAACATCTTAGATAATTTACATATCTTACAAATTCTTATAAATCAGTATTTATAAGTGAATATTTATCATCATTTTAATTTAAAAAATCAACAAGCAATCCATGGCTAGGTTTCTTAAAGCATTTTTATATCTCTAGCTTTCGGGCCAACATGCCCTTCAATAGAAGAACTAGAAGTATGACTTCCAGCTAACTATATACGCCGAAATAAAAATCTAAATATACATGATGTAATTCTACTATAGATGTGTGAAAAATTAGCAGTCGTTTGTGGCTGTCTCCACCTCAATCATCATCTCTTTATTTTCCAAATCTTTTATACAAAAACAAAATTTACATACATGTTAACTGCTTTAAAATTTACATATTAAAAGATTTATATTGTACAATTTAATTTAGAGATTTTGGTTTTATTTGCATACATAAAATTGAATTTAAGGAAATGAGAGGGAGATAGAAACTATGAACAAAGCTAAACTGGAAATTTACTTTCTATCATTCAAAATGTATCATACATATATTTTTGAAATTAGAGCAATCCATAAATGAATCTTTAATTTAAAAAGGCATATATTGGATCGAAATATCATTTATTTTACCTTAATTACCTATTTAATTAAATACATATATATTTAAAATCAAAAGATGCATATTCTAACCACGCTCACATAAGCTTTTTTTTTTAGACGAGGAGGGCGAAGACTAGAACACGGATGATTCCACACTAGCCTGTTCAGTGATACGCTAACCATGACGTATGTACGAAGGAACGTGTGGACATTGGACATGTGTCGGACCTGGAGGCTGTTGTTGGATGCTGCGCTGCCTGGAGTATAGGAGCTCTATCTATGATTCTTTCTTCCTGTGGTGAATCTGTATTAGACCAATAGTCTTAATAAAGCTTTGTGTATATCCATATAGGTTCCCTCTCTAAACACCTCTAAGCTTCATTCTATAGTAAATACAAGGTATTTAGAGAAACAATCCAATACAATAGTAGAGAGCTGTGTGAAGATTAATTTGGCGAAATCGCCGAGAGGGTTCACCACTGATGAGTCAGGCCCTCTCATTTAATATTGCAGTAAGGTCTTTTGAATGTAATTCTGCAGTCCTATAAGCTTATGTCCATAGTTTTCTTGAAAACCATTTCTGAGATTCTACCCTTCAGTGATGCGTATATAAGCAGAATCGTCCAATACAGTATTAGAGCTCTGAGAAGCGGTCTGGTGGATTAAATTGGCGAAACCGCTGGGAGGGTTCACCATTGATCAGCCAAGCCCTCCCAATATATATGTTTTCATCGCAGTAAGGACAGTAGAAGTTTGTATTATGTATAAAAGAAACATTCGTGCTTTTAAATCCTTTCATTTTATAAGTAAGGTCTTTAGATATATTTCTTGATAATATATATTATAAGAAACACATCTCCAAAAATATAATTATCACAAATTTTATATATATATTTCTACAGTCCTATAAGTTTCTTTCCATAGTTTCTTCAAACATTCTTACTCTATATTCCACAATAAATGTCAATTCCATAATAAAATCAAACATCTAATACAGAATTAAAGCGGTCTGTAGATCAAACTGGCTAAACCGCCGGGAGGGGTTCACGACTGATTCCATTTTAATTTTTATCATGACAATAATCTGTAGAAATATCTACAATTATATGAAAAAGTGGCGTTAACAATTTTGTCTCCATTTCTATTTTCAAAATAAAAACTATATAAGTATATTTCATATAATTCCATAAAGATAATAACTTATTTTAAAAAAATGATTTAAATTGAGAATTAAATTTATATTAGATGTTTTCCTCATGGAAGTTTTGCCGGGTGGATATTGATATACAAAGACACCCTTGTCTTTGTAGGTAGATATATATATATGTGAATTATTATTATTATTTTTAAAAATAACTTAGAATAATTCAGGTTTATATATATATACTAGCGGATGTGTACCCGGCTTCGCCCGGGTTTTATCCCAGTGAAAGTTTGCCTAACGAATATTATATATTATGAAGTATAATAAACAATGTTAAAGATTAGTTTCAATTATTAATCAAGATTGTGTGTGAATATGTGAGAAAGATGTAATATCGTTGTTGTTTTCTTGGCCGACTGTTTTACATATGGTGTTATCTTAAAATTGCTTGTTTTGAATATTTTTTTAGATTGAGTTGAATGAATTGCTGAATTTTTTTTTTGTATTTATATATAAATAAAATTAACTCTGTTGATTTTTTTTTGTATTTAATCGATAACAGCGAAGTTACGCATGTTAAAGTTAGGAAAAATATTTTGATGTTAAGCAAAACCTGCTCCATCTCGTTTTACATAAATGTTGAAAATTTGGTCGAAATTGATGCATTGTAACGAAAGTTTTTAGCGAACAACACTTATGAAATTTGCATTTTATTAATATAGATATATATATATATATATCTGTGAGGGAGCATTTTGTAATGGTGACAACACAAGACAAATGTACACTCATTTTATTTATTTTATATATAAAAGATACATAAATATAAATGAAAATATATACTAAATATTTTCATAATTCCTAATAAAATTCACAGTGAATCTCTAAAAAAATGCAACTAGATTATTATTTAAGTACTTAATTTCGAAACAACTTTTAGGAAATATCATAGAACAATGAGTTGAGCGCTCCTGTTGAAAGGAGCTAATCCATCCAAGCGTTTAAAGGTAATCCATAGAAATCGGTGTTAAACAAATACATACCAAATAAATCAATAATAGTCACTTAGCCAACCAATTTTCCCGTGGACTGACTCTAAATTGCGCGCATTCCGAAATTCAATTAAATAAGGGGGAGGCTTGAAATTAGGTGAATTGCAGGTAATTCTACGAGAGTTTCCCATGGTAATTTCATGATAGAATCCCAGGGAGGATGCATTTAGGAAATTCCAGAAGGCGTGCGTGGGGCCATGGTAATGGAGATTGTTCCAGTGTGGCGCGACGAATGTCAATGAGTTTCACAGAGTGAATACAACTTTTAATTAAAGGAGCTCTTGTAGACGATGTAAAAGCACGGGTTCTGGATGCGTGTTAAACCATAATATTCTTTTTTTCTTTCTAGGATTTAAGCTAGTTTTAAGATGCGTATGTAAATTTCACTTATACGGGAACATGTACGAAAATGAGAGAAGTCAAGGATGAGACACCAGGCACTTGATTTTAATTTTAAAAAAAACGTTACATAAAAGAACAGAAAGAGTCAAGGAGATATAAACCTATTCTGATGATAAAACACACAAACAACTTTATTAAGACCACCGGTCTAATACAGATTCACCACAGGAAGGAAGCATAGATAGAACTCCTATACTCCAGACAGCACAGAACCCAACAACAGTCTCGAGGTCAGACGTATGTCCACAGAATCCACCATACATAAGTACATCAAATACACATACATACAGCTTTATTGAGACCACCGGTCTTATATAGATTCACCACAGGAAGGAAGTATAGATAGAACTCCTATACTCCAGGCAGCAGAGAACCCAACAACAGTCTCGAGGTCAGACGTATGTCCACAGAATCCACCATACATAAGTACATCAAATACACACATACAGCTTTATTGAGACCACCGGTCTTATACAGATTCACTGCAGGAAGGAAGCATAGATGGAGCTCCTATACTCCAGGCAGCACTGAACCCAACAACA